GACCGAGTTGACCGAGTTGAACGAGTTGACCGAGTTGACCGAGTTGACCGAGTTGACCAGGGTAGTTGAACGAGTTGACCGAGTTGACCGAGTTGACCAGGTAGTTGACCGAGTTGACCGAGTTGACCGAGTTGACCGAGTTGAACGAGTTGACCGAGTTGACCGAGTTGACCGAGTTGACCGAGTTGATCGAGTTGACCGAGTTGATCGAGTTGACCGAGTTGACCGAGTTGACCGAGTTGACCAGGGTAGTGGACCGAGTTGACCGAGTTGACCGAGTTGACCAGGGTAGTGGTAGGTAGGTAGGTAGGTCGGTCGGTCGGTCGGTCGGTAGGTAGGTAGGTAGGTAGGTAGGTAGGTAGGTCGGTAGGTAGGTAGGTAGGTAGGTAGGTAGGTAGGTAGGTAGGTAGGTAGAGTTGTACTATTTTCCCACCAACTCAGGCACCCTAGTACAGGCTACTGTAACGAATGGCTACATCGCAATGTTGTGACAAGGACATTCTCTGACACACAGCTCCGCAACAATGTTGATAAACAGGCACTCAGGTAGATTGCACTTTTGTTGAAATAACGGAGAGATAACATTGACTCTGCTGTGACCGAAACCTTTGAACAAGCGCGCGAGTACACAAACATGAGTAATTCTGTCATTACGTACAATTAACGCTTATCACAGACCGGTTCGCTACAAAGTCTACAGATGTATCACTGATAAGGTGTGGGGCGGGGAGAAACGGCAACATTGTGGCAAGTACGGCAAAAATGCAACATCTTCTGGCAAGAAGAGAATCATTTGTGGCAAATCAGTTTAAATATATCTGCATACAACTAGTAGTATATGGGCCACACTGATTTAGTTTTTCGTTGTTTTCGGGTTACGTTAAAAAATACTGGAAGATACACGGGGGGGGGGGTGGTACATTGTTTCTCACAGTTTTAGAGATCGAGCATAGTTTAGATACAAGTTTTCGAAAAGTCCTTTTTTTCATTTTGTGCTCTTGCTCTATTTATATTTGTTTTACGAAAAATACAGTGCAAAACAAGTCAAGCTGCTGGATAAATTCTCCGAAGTGCCAGGTGTATGTATATCATAAAGTCATCAGTGACTCTACAGATTTTAAAATGATCGGGAACCAAAAAAATAACATGTTTTGGCCCCTAAAATAATTAAAGATTAGAAGATCAGACCGCCGCATAACGACCTAATCCCCGAGAGTCTCAAACCCCGGTGTGTGTATCATCCTTAAGTTTGAATAATAAGTTTACGGTTTGACTCCTCAAGGAGGGCTGTTGAGGCGATCTCGTTCCCACGAAGTGCCGGCTGAAGTTGTCTTGAGTCGGGGCGTGTCTGGCAGTGGGGCGGTACTTCAGTCAATGAATGGGCGGATGAATAAAGGAATGAATAAATGAATGGTTTATTTGCGTCGGTGGCGCAATGATTGGAGTGTTGGACTCGGAACCAATAGGTCCCGAGTTCGATACTCACCATACTCCGGCGTTGTATCCTTCTGAAAGGTACTTTACGCGACTTCCCCATGCATCATGTACGGTGGAGTGACGCCCATCCAGCCTCTTAGCCTAATCTGTCTAAATGTGTGTCAAAAAGACACTACACATTTGGTGCGCCACCAAGAGCCGTTATTTTTTATTTGCGTAAAACCTGACAGCCTGTTGGTTTTATTACGTCTTATTCACAATTATACATGTTTAGTTCTACATAATTTGTATGAAAGACATTGTGGTGTTCACGAAGCATATTATAAGTATCCTACTTGTATCTGGTAGTGTCTCGGTTTTTGTGTCTAAAAGCATGCCGGTGCTTGTAACCGTAGAAAAACTAGCCGGCGTGGGAGTGAGTACGAGCTAGAAGAAAAATCCTCTACAACCCTTACGTTCTGGAAAACAGTTAAAAACTGTAAAATTGTGAACATGAAAACAGTGCCCGTACAAAATGACCCCAGGTAAAATAAGTCAAATTTTTCACGTGTTCACACGCGTCTATACGAATCAGTATCCTGCTATTAGTGTTTCAACGATTAGTTTAAACAAGAAGGCTAATTTTAACAGCAGATAACATAAATAAATGAACACAGGCTTTTCAAATGCTAAGAAATATCGTGTCCAGTAAGTATATCACAAACACAGATAATTATACTGTTACCTGCAGCAAAATTACAGGTTCTGTATGACCTATAACCTCATATCTGACCATCAGGCATGTGACATGTTTCTCTAGTTGTATATAATGGCAGATAAGATAATTATGATTTACATACTTGAAAGAGCAAAGTACAGAGGCTTTCGTGTGATCATTTACACCTACTACATGGAGTAAAAAATAGAAACAAGAAATAATTACAATGATTTTAATCTAAGTAAGTGCGGTATCCATGTCTAGACATTGGTGCCGCCTTACAAAAGACTGTGTAGTATGTCTATGACGGTATCAGATAAATGTACATATAGTTCTGCCGCCTTGTCTTTTAGGAATTAAAATCTACATAATGCCCCCCCCCCTTAGTTTAACAGACTAGTAATGTCTATAACAAAAACTAAACCTTAGATACAAAAGCAACATGAATCAAACAAACAATTGGAGAAAAAAGAAGAGTCAGACGTTTCAGATAGCATCCACTATGTTTCATCAGTAGTGACTGAGAATGAGTATAAAGACAAGTTTGTTTCTGAATTGAGTTACTAGACTAACTACACTGGCTATATATAGGAGAATACTTGCCAGGGGAGTTTGGCCGCCTTGTAGGCTTGACTGGCCGCGGAGGGAAAGAACCAAACTTCCCCAGACTGAGTCCCCTGACCAATTTTAATCTCCCTTTTGCCGAATTCTACGATCCGTATTCCCGTAGAAAGGCCTGATGGAGGTAGCCTTCGTAGCAGGCTTATAGAACTGGGGGTTTGGTGGTCTTCGGCTGTTTTCTGATTAGCCCCAAAAAAACCTGGGGTAATTCAACCATGCCGGCTAAGTTGTCCATGTGCAATCAGAAAATAGCATATAAAAAAGCCCCCATAGACCATGAAGGCCCCCAAACCCCCAGTTCTTGGCATGCGTTTGGAGGCTAACATGTACTAGTATCTACTATCTATGTCTACTGTCGTGTATCGCCCCTGTGCATATTTACACACACCCTTATCGTTAATCCACCTGTTGTTAGTTTGTCCCCAAACAGGTTAATTTGCCGGCGTGAGTCCTTTGCAAGTGAAAGGGGCGACAAATTATCCCCATTGCGGGAGGGACGACACTGTTATCTATACCGTGTCGAGCCGTGTAGCCATGGCAACGTTAGAACGCGACAGACGGTCGTCATGGCAACGTGTACACACGTAAGTTCTCGCGAGGTTTCGGGCGAGAGTTTTTTTTGTCCTACCACGCGCCGAGGGAAACAGAGCTAGATTTGATTTCGGGATTTCTATTGTAGCGATCGTCAGAATCGCAGTTACTTCCGCATGCAAAGGCCGTAGGATTTTCAGCAAGGCCATACGACAGACCCGACCATCGACAAGAATCTACGACAATCTTTTCCGTCACTTTGAACGACACAACCGCGACTCTCTTTGTCCGAACACTACTGTGTATCATCGTAAGCCTGTCGTAGGACGTACATATACTTGACCGGGACTTTTTGAACGTTATTCTTTGAAGATCTTAGCCTGAATGCTTGTCGTCGTCTTGGAGATTGTCCTTACAGAGTCTTGGTGGTTTACGAAAACTTCAGTGGACGCCTTGAAGTCTTTTGTCTTGGACTGTCCGAGCTAAGATCCCGGTAAGATGCCTGATTACCGCAAGGGCGACTCGCTTCACCCAGACAACGGCGGCGCGCACGCAGGCCGCATGGTGAGGTGACTTCGCGAGGACCATTCATTCATACACACGGTACGTACTGTACACACTATTGTATCCAGAACCGTGCCTATCTAGTTCTGTGCCTGAATTGGTTAGGTTAGGATCAGGCAAGGTTCTGGGTACATCCCTGTGTATCCAGTGATGTAGGTTTGTAGCCTCTACCAGGCTTCGGGAGGCGGCTGGAAAGAGTAGAAATCGGCCAAATAGAGAGATAGCATGCCAATGGAGTTTGGTCGGCTGGAGAGTACAGTTTGCCGCTCCCGAATTGTTATTTCCAGCCGACCAAACTCCCTTGGCATGCTATCTCTCTATTTGGCCGATTAAACTACTGTTGCCAGCCGCCTCTCGAAGCCTGGTAGAGGCTAGTAGGTATGTACCAGGCGTAAACTATCCAGAACCGTGCCTGGGCATGGTTTTGTATGGAACACGGTACTGAATATACTAGTAACAACAACCGCTGGTGTTGGTTACGGTGTTTTTCTGGGTCGGTGCGTCTTCTAGCTTCCGTGAAGACTTGAGTTTAAACACGAGGGCGTCTCTTCGAGAGGGATTTTCGTACATGATTGTGAAGTGATAGCACGCAGATTGGCGTTATCGTAAGTACATAAGGATTAGGTACGCGTGAAATAGATATGAGTGAAGTGACTACTAGTATTCTAGTCTAGCGAGACGACGCCTTTACACGAAGACGGTTTAGTCAAGGGGTACTTTCAGTGTTCTTAGTTTCGTTCAACATTTAGAGACTGATCTCCTTGCTTACAGTCCTTTGGTTATGACATATGTAGACTTATTGGTCTAATGTTTGTTTCCAGCGACGCTGCACGACTTGTGTCAGGGAGAGAGGGACGATAGAGTCTCGGCATGGCGGCCGGGCCGGACACAGTTCCCCGGGCGGGGTTCGCGTCGACCGGCGCCGAGCGGCGACAGAGAGCGTTACGGCACCTTCTAGCGGAAACGCCGACGTTTTTCACGAGTCCGCGCCAAGTCAGCTCCGCGAGGCCCACCCTGAGCAGAAATAATTTGTTCGACAAGCGGCTGTACCTGAGACCGCAGTCGTGCACGGCAGAGAACAGACGCAAGCCCCTCACGGCCTCGTACCCTCTCACCGGGGCGGACTCGCACGTCTTTCGGCCAAGGACGTCCTTCTCCCCGAGGACGCCTTCTGACAAGGACCGGTGCCTTTCGGTGACGGACTCGGACGGTGACAGCGCGGTACAGAGACCGAGGACTCACCGGTCTTACACAGCTTCGCCTCTGATATCGGAAAGCCAACAGGACGTGACTAGATACGGTACGTAAGATATGTGTGTGTGTACATTGCTTTGTCGTCTGTTGATCTTGTCTTAGCTCTTAGGTACATGTACTAGCATTGTGTTGTTCTTTTGTATTGCGATAAACAAACAACTTAAACTCTATCTCACAAAATGTGTATTGTAGACGGACTACTCCTGTTGTGTAATTCGCTTGTAGTATGTCATGTGAATCATTCAATGAATCAAACGCTTTTAAACAGTGTTTAAAGTTCATTTTCCCTCCTCTTCGTTCACCAACTTTTATTTCTCCTTCTGATCATCAGAAACTGTTTGTAATAGAATGTAAACTATTAAGTATACACCAAAAAGAGAGAAGAACTTTATAGTCTGATACAATCGAATATATATTCATGTTTCCCTACTTCATACACCTAAGCTGTACAGTCAAATCTATATTTCTAATCAAATTACAAATGTACTAGAGACAAACCTTCGATTATTAAACATACCTGTTCTTACCTTTTAACCATTACTAAGAAACGAGAAGAAACCGAATTTACTTTGCTGTAGCTACTTACATGTAACAATGTACATTCGTAACGTTATCTGTATTCTATTCTTCTGTTGTGAGCTGTGCTTAACCCAGTGGGTATGTATGCACAATAAAATTAAAGGTCTTGTTCATTCCCTCCTTCCTTTCCCGTAGTAACGGAGGCGTGGTCCCGGGTGAAGCGCGAGTCCCTCCGGCGGCGGCTGAGCCGGATGACGCCCGAGCAGCGAGACAGCTTCCGCCTGCTGCACAATCCCGCCTTCCAGGCAGCCAGGTACGACTTGTCGTAGGATCGTCGTACGATTATTTACTTGTGTGTTGTTATATAAATGACTGGGCACAACCCCGCGTTCCAGGCAGCCAGGTACATACGATACACAGACTTGTCGTAGGATCATCGTATGATTATTTCTTTCGTTTTGTGTTCTTATACAAGAGGAGTGTGTACGATACATGACCCTATCACACGTGTAGTACGACAGGTTTGCGACTTGAGGATAGGCCGTACGACGGCTTTGCGACAGGTGTACGACCAAAACAAATGGAGGAAATTCATAGACCAGACGTGAATGTGTCGTAAACATAAACGTAAACACTGTCGTAGCTTCTATGGTACACCAGCGAAATTACGTTGATACATGTACTTAAAGAGGTATATGTATGATATCTCATATAAAGCACTTGCTAAATCGCAAGCTTTAAGGTGCGTGCGACAGGGGACTAACTTTTCACACACTGATGACTTTTAATTAGTGAGGACGCCGGGGATTTGGACAGTCTAATTAACTCAAGCCTTTTGTCCGTGTTTGTCACAGGTGTCATTTGATATATGTTGATATGTGCATTTTACTATATTCAGGACTATTATTTTCTACACTAGGATTTCTGTGAACGGATTCCAATAGCAAAGCCAAGTACATAATGAAATCCGACAACCCTGCATTGTACATATAGGACAATATATATTTAAAATCCTAGACGCTAGAAATCCCACCAATGAGTGTAAAAGAACATTCTCATTCCATACTACACAGTCTTTGTAAGTCTTATATATAGTGCGTATATTGTTATAGATGTAGATGTCATACGCTGTATTTTGAACAATTGTTGCACAATATATAATTTCTTTTTAATACGAGTTTTCCCGTTTTCCAGATGTGTTGCGGTATGGAAGCGGGCGCGGGAAAGGGCCACACACAGTAGACAGAACTGGCGAGAGGGGGAAAAGGTATGTTACACTTTTTGTCACTCTATTTGCACTCGTATAATTTTAATTTACAATGAATGCACTACGGAAAGACGGCAGGGGTGTAGTAGTCTCTGCAATACCTTTTAGTGGACTGAAAAATGTAGAATTCTGCCGTAAATAAAGGGAATACTATTTTGCCAGAGGGCTTGTCATTGGAGTACAGTATATCTGTGGGCTGGCCAATATTTACAACTATTTCTTGAAATCCACGGCGTGGATTGTGATACAGTAGGAGTACTAGTGTGATACAGTGGATTTTGTTTGGTTATTCTTCAACTTGAGTGATCTGGTAAGTAAATGATGGTTTAATACACTTTAGCGGCGTTTCCGATTTGTCTACCCGTGTTTATAGGGCTGTATCCTAGCAACGGACCGGTTTTTCCTGTTTTTATGTCTTCTCGAGAAAAGATTGATGATGAGATTTATGGCACCCGTCATGCCCCGCGGCGGAGCATGCGCAATCATTAGGAAGGGGTGAATGTCCTATCATTACTTAGCTTCATCGATTTATTTCTTTAGATCGTTTTGAAGTCAATAAAATAGCAAATGCCCCCCCCCAAAAAAAACACAGAGGGGTTGGAAAGGAAACTTAAATTCTTACTATTCACTCCCCAAAACCAATGAGCTTAATGTGATTTTTAAGCTCCTTGATGTGTACCGAGGTACAGACCCCCCCCTCCACACACACACAAACACAAGCTGTTTTACTGTTAATCTTTCAGTTTGACAATGTTTGATTTTTTTTCAATCCAAGAATCAACAATCTAATTGGTGTTTCCTCAACACAGCAGTCGCGGCTTTCATTGTATATTTAGTAGTTTTTCTTAATTTTAACCTCACTTTCTACACACATTTTAAACTTAAGATTACAAGCAAATGAATATTAGTTTGAGACTTAATGATAGCTTTCTTTAGACAAATGAACAGGAATAGGAAATTTTACGATCTGTTGGACGAGACGGGTTTACTGTTGGACAGGCGGCGTTCTTTGATATTGTAACTTACGACGACGTTTTCGCAGTTTTTTTATTCACACCTGATGAGATTACAATAAATCATACTCGCTTGTGCAACCTCGCGTTGTCTGTTTAGACTGATGGTACCGTTGATAGGACTTCTCCCCCAACACTCGTCTGTTGTCTGTTACGTGACCAAACATATAAATCTCCCGGACCCGTCAGACCGACCATGGAGACCTGTTGTTTTTGTTACCCCACACTAAGGCTCGGGTGAAACATGCGGAAGATGCCTCCAGGCAGTAACTGATCCTCAACTCCTCACATATAAAACGTGCAGTCACATTCGCAGTATCTATTTACTATATATGCCATCTTAACAAAGCTGGGTGGCCTACATGTACGTAGCAGGCATATAGAACTGGGGGTTTGGTGGTCTTCGGCTGTTTTCTGATTACTAGTAGCCTCCGTAGCAGGCTTATAGAACTGGGGGTTTGGTGGTCTTCGGCTGTTTTCTGATTAGCCTCCGTAGCAGGCTTATAGAACTGGGGGTTTGGTGGTCTTCGGCTGTTTTCTGATTAGCCCAGTTCTAAAAAACGGGGGTAATTCAACCAGGCCGGCTATGTTGTCTATATGCAATCAGAAAATAGCACCTAAAAGATCCAAAAGACCCCGAAGACCCCCAGTTTTTGGCATGCTATGGAGGCTACCGTAACTGACCTACAACCCCTCACCTATGAAATGTACAGTCACATTCGCAGTGTTTGTGTACTTATGTCGCATTAACATAGCTGGGTAGCCCATTCAACTTATCAACGTTGATTCTAAATAGAGCCTAGTGTACACAGAACAAAGATTTAGTGTGGTGAAAACAAAAGGAGGACGACAGTAGTACAAATATATGCTGCGTCAAAAACAAAATCATTCTCAGTAACTCAAGTTCTTAGTATGACAAGTTTACAAATTGAGGACGTTCTTGGGACAGTTGTGTGAGTGTCGTGCAAAACTTGGGTGATATGCGACAGAAATATTTGTTTGTCGCAAATCCTTGGTATTCTTACGATAGACTCACCGCAAGACATAAGACAAAAATCGGTGGTCAATTATTCGACCTGTGGCATCTTTCATGATCAATCACTATATATAATAGACATGTGATACCTGACAAGGAAGGTCCTTCATGTTTTGTTTTTTCACGAGCCGACGCCAAGCAGACAGACGACACGAAATGAAGTGCCGCCGGCTGATTTACTTTTCAAGATGTTTTTACAAGACTCGGAAGACCCATTGAACCATTTCTTCTTTTTTCCAACTGTAGCTTGTCGATTGTCTAGCCTGGCTCCCAGACTGTTTCCATGCCTGCACAAATGTTTAATACAAGCCTCAGATACAACGTTTCAACTGTAGCTTGCCTAGCCTGGCTCCCAGACTTTTTCCAGGCCCACATAGATCTTTTACAAGCCTCAGATGCAACCTTTCTTCTTATATCCAACTGTGCCTTGACTAAGCTGGATACCAGACTGTCTCCAGGTCTACATAGATGTTTTACAAGCCTCAGATACAACTTTTCTTCTTCTGTCTAACTGAAGTTTGTCTAGCCTGGCTCCCAGACTGTTTCCATGCCTACATAGACGTGTTACAAATATCAGATGCAACATTTCTCATTCTATACAAGTGTAGCTTGTCTAGCCTGGCTTCCAGACTGTTTCCAGGCCTACATAGGCAAGCGTCTTGGCTGTAGGGCCAACATGGCCCTATGGAAGGGTCATGGAAACTTTACCTCGTTTTCCAAGGTCTAAATCAGGGTGGCTGTCGTAGAAGTTCTTGGATGAGGCATGCCGAAGTTGCCATAGAGCCCTATATTCGAGCAGCTGGACTGCGAACGTATTCCCTAGAAACTATCTGGCATCTAGGCTAAGAAGCGGGTATACTAGTATGTATGCTCTGGAAACAGCCTGGTATCAAGACTGTGCTTGTTAGTCTTACCTGTGATGTCAGTGATGTATGATGTCAGTAGGGGGGAGGGTGATGTGTCATGATCTATCATGTATAATTGTCACACTTTGATGGAGAGAAGAGACGAATGATAGGATGATGGATTAAACAATGAAAGGGAAGAAGCAGAACGACAGGAAAGATCACCCTAAAGCAAACGTTTAATTGTTTCCAGAATTTTCAAATTACTAGTTTATTTATCAAACCAAGGAGGCTTGATTTTAAACCTCATTGATCAAACTATATCGTATACTTTTCATTCAAGCATAACAAATCGTCATTTTCTTTCTCGACCTTTCCAACCGCGTTGACTATTATCATTGGTATGCTCCGAAACAAAAGTTAACAGCATAGAAAAAGATGATGCAGACAATCCTTACCAAATATCAGATTGAAAATACGAACTGAAAAACAATTAGATTTAAATGCTGTGTATCATATTTCCTAATTTTCCAAAGAAACGCGGACTACAGATGTGTATCTGTGAGCAGTGATCCCAGACAATGCGCCTTTTCTCTTAAGACTAATTTGAGGCACGTTGATCCTTTAAGTAGCTCTGAGATTAACATTAGACATCTGACTTGTTTGGAACAAAACGCGGTTCTCTGCGTGGATTCTGTGATTGTGTGCTTAATCGCTTTGTTGTCAGAGATCTCATTGAGGTGGGATCCTGAGGATTATTAGTTTCTGTGTCTTATGGTTTTTAAATTCTCGAATTACTTATAATCTTTTCTGTTGGTAAAGGGTAAAGTGATTTTCGCCTTAAGCCGGTCTTACTGTCGTTGACACACATACACACATGTACAGAGAGAGAGAGAGAAACACGCAAACGCACATGTACACACACACACACATACACACACACACACATACACACACACACAGACACACACACACACACACACACACACACACACACACACACACACACACACACACACACACACACACACACACACACACACATACACACACACACACACACACACATACACACAATACAATACAATTCAATGTAAAGCACGCACGCACGCACGCACACATGCACAAAGGCAAGACAAAAATCAACACTTCACTTCCTTGGGGTGAACCAAAAATATCTTTCAAATCGTCTCCGTAACTCGGTGATGTTTACTTAATTGTCACAACAGTAACCAATCTGTTCCACTCGACGTACTTTTGAATTCCGTTTGAGTACTAGTCCAGCAGCAGATTGTGTTAAACGTGGCGTGAGAAGGGATTAGATAGGGATGAAAATGCCCAAACATCGTCCCAGCAACCGGGAGGCATTTGGTAAAAATTGGGACTCATTTTCTCGCCCCAATTTTTGAAGTCAAAACACAAGTTGCAGTGAACATTGGTTTCCCATTAGTAGCAGATGCGATTATACAAGTGGTCAGCACAATTATTATACCAGTGCATGACTAATTCTTGTTCCTTATTCTCTTTAACACTGGGGTCGATGCAAGAGTCTATATGTAGGGTTGAGTTACAAAGCTGGGAGTGTCCGCATATGTACCGACTGTGGTTAATCACGACGAGGCTCTGGCGCAATACTGTATCATTGCAGCTTATTCATGAACGTATAACTCCTGTACGTTTCACAGGCCCCGCGGTTAGCAGTGAAGGCCCCCCGGCGGAATATTGTATCATTGCAGCTTATACATGTTAAACTCTATATTCATATCCCTGTACATTACAGAGTGGTCTGGCCAGATTCTACCACGCCGTGAGGTTAGTTATCCTGGTGTACCGGCTCCGACTCGCGATGACGGCCCTCTCCCGGGACAGGACCGTGCCCACCGCCGCAGAGATGCGGTTCCACACTCTGCAGCACGACGAGAAGGTGCTAGCCTTCAACAAGGACATGTACGCCAGGAGGACAGAGGTAAGCGGTACTAGCTAGCACAAAGAAAACTTTAAAGCAATAACCTGTTGATCATGGTCCTTAGAGAACTACCGCTGTTACGAGATCAACAGAAATAAGAATGGCTTCTTTGCTTCCTAGACGTTGTTTTTTTCCCAAGCTATGACTGACACCTCAGCATAGCAGCAGTACAGAAAACATTTGCTATATAGTACAGTACGCTGACGAGTAGCACTGAAATGGGCATTAACTTTGCATTTGAAGTTATGTTAGTATGGTATTCGCTACATCCCGCGGGAGGAAGTTTCACAACTTGACTGTAGCAGGGTTCTCCAAGGTTGTATTTCAATTGGTTTTGCCAAGGCTCATAAAAAAAATCATAAAAGGCTAATCTGTGAGGGGAGAGCTTGAAACTGTCTTGTATGATAGAGCAGGGCGTAGCCATGGTCTGATTGCTAAGGTATAGCTCTCCTCAAACACGAGACCTCCGGCTTTACGCCAAAGGGATACGAGTTTGAGAACACCGACTGGCAAACCAAGATGTCAAAACATAACTACTATCATGAAGATAGTACATTGTTTGAGGAAAACAAAGTACCCTAGCCAGCTGTTTTCCGTTTTCCTTAGGCGACGATGCGGCTACCGCGGTGGGCCACGGACATCATGGGGAAGCCTCCGCGGTGGCGCACGGACCAGGAGTGCCGCAAGCTGCACGCACTGCTGCGGTGTCTAAAGGCTTTCCGCGTGTTCTCTCCACGGATACAGGGCATCATGTGCAGGTCTATCCTGTATCAGTTGTGAGTACACACTTCTGTTATAGTATTTGTGTGTTTGTGTGTGTGTGTGTGTGTGTGTGTGTGTGTTTTGTATGTGTGCTTCCTGTCCAGTGCTGCGAAAGGGCCACCCGGACTCCAAGTTTTACTTCGCGCACTCGTTCTACCTCGCTACGCTCACTCGGTGGTTTAGTCCCGTTTGTTTTTCCCAGTGTGGAGGCGGAGCGGGTTGTCCTGCGGAAGGGCCACCCCGGATCCGGGTTCTACTTCGTGTACTCGTTCTACTTCGCTACGCTCACTGGGCTCCGTGTTCGTGAACGCCGAGGACACTAACCAGGCCACGGGCGAGGCCTTCATGCGCACCGAGGCCGTGCTGGGCAGGGGAGACTCTTTCGGGGTAGGTAGTAGCTAGTCTGTTATCTCCAAACAGATCCTAGGGTGGCAAAAGAAAAAGTATCAAATTGGCCAGAAAGGGTCCAATGGTTGGCGTATTGGACCCTCTCTTGCCAATTGATACTGCCTGGCCAATTTGAAACTTTGTTGTGTACCCTAGGATCTACTTGGAGAATAGGTAGTAACTAGTCTGTGTAACGCAAGCTTTGCCGACCGCGGATTTAGTGGCCCCTCCCCTTTTTCGGGGGGGGGGTGTTGGGCGACAACCGTAAAGCGACTTAATCAGGCTATATAGTAGCAACGGTAGCATCCACCACCTTACAACATTAGCGTTTGAGTTTCTTTTAAATTAGACTCACTATTCGTCAAGAGATTTTGCCCGATGAAACACCCCTTTTGGTACGAAACGTTTTCAGCACCAAGGACAGATGCCATCACACTGCAGTACATAACAATATCGCAAGGCGTGATAGAGGCGCTTTTGCACTAGGCATTGTGCTTGTTTCTATCCACTCAATCCCACCGTTTTATACAGGAAATCGCTCTTCTCCGTGGCTGCCCCCGTACTGCCAGTGTGACCGTGAGAGAACCCTGTGAACTCCTGATTGTGGACGACAAGATTTTCGCCGAAGTTTGTCCCAAGATCTTTGACGCAGAGCTGGACGAAAGAGTCAAATTTCTCAGGTTAGTTGCTCAAGTTATACGCAACTATGGTCAATTCCCTGGACCAGACGGCTGTCACCATGGTAACTGGTGAGGAGACACTCTGTGGTGTGGAATAGATAATGTAGCAAGTGGCAGGACAGGGGCTGGTTACTATGTACTTGTACTACGTATGTGTTTGAATAAGAATAAACAGAACAGTAGTTTATTAGGTAGGCTATGCCGTGTGAGGGTAAATGTAACCTTTCTAGGTGTACAACTTTCTTTACATTGGGGTATCTGCCCAATCAGTTGCGTTCGTCCACCCAAAAGCAGTATCAATTTCAATTTCATAATCTACGAATTGCCCCTGCACTTCCTCCCTTAACAGACAGGTGCCGCTGTTTACACATCGCTATTGGCAGTCGGACGCGCTTCGTCAGCTGTGTATTGAGACACAAATGCAAGAGGTGGGAATAGAAATAAGTCTGTTTATGAAAGTTATGTCTTCTGTAGCTTTTTGTGGTTTCATTCGTGTTTTTTTCTATCGTCTTATTTTCAAATTTTCTTTCCAGTTCAAGTCCGACCACATCATAGTGGACGACAGCGAAGTGGACGAGTGGATTTACGTGTGTGTGGAGGTAAGAAGCCGTTCCCAAACAAACAAACAAACAAACAAAACAAAGTTATACAACAACAGGGAGACTGGAATTTGGATACATTTTACAAGTTTAAAAATAAGTACCTTTGAGTTTGTCATGCCAGTTTGTGTCCAAAAAAGACTGGTTGTGACAAAACAAACTGCCGAGAAGGATCTAAGACAACATTTAACGTAAAAAAGACAGATTAATTGCAAAACACATGTACTACTATCCGAAGAATGCCACTAGTTGGCGATTATTGAACGAAGTTTGTCAGTAAGCCAATGAAGCAATTTGTTGAACCAAGGAGCTTTCATCAACGATGCAACAAGCTGTTTAACAGCTGAGACTTAAAGATCCTTTCTTTCTACTCTCCCTTTCAGGGACAGTGTAAGGTTCTGAAGAGCCTTGTCCTGGAGAAGGAGAGTCTGACCCGCCCTGCCAGCCTGAGGGGAGACCCACCAAGTGACGTCAACACAAGGAGGGTCTCGTTCGCAGTTCACGATGACGTCATCGAGGCAGACGACGATATCTTCCATGGTGAGAAAGGGGTCGTATTTTTACCCGTATCTTATCGAAAATCTATGGTTTCATTGTCACACGACGTACGAGTTTACATACAAGAGGTATTATTCTATTCAAAATCGTATGTGGATACATGTATGTCAGCCCAGGGTAGAGATGGCAATCCGGCAGAATCTTCGGCTATTCTACCAGTAGAGATGCCGATCAGAGTCTGTAAACTATTCTGTTCGTGTGGATATAAATGCCCGTAGGCAGGACACCCCGACACACACACACACACACACACACACACACACACACACACACACACACACACACACACACACACACACACACACACACACACACACACACACACACACACACACACACACACACACACACACACACACACACACACACACACACAGAAACACACACACAGACACACACACACAGACACACACACACACAGAGGTACAAATAAAAAGAATGGGAACATTTCTTCTTACTTTGAAATCCCGTCAAAAATGCAGGAAACGCCATTTTAGAGGGGGACGAAAACTCGGAGAGTGACGAGGAAGAGGAGGAGACATCTGTGGACAGGTCAGAGAGCATGCGCAGCAGGTCAGAGCGCATGCTCCGTTCGATCCGCGGGGACCACCCAGAGGACAACGACCAAGATCCACAGGTCAGTAACCTAGCGGTCAACGACCCCTTCGGCTCTTCAGAGAGCTTCTGTAGCGTACTGGCTAGTTCTGTCATGCTAAATTTATCCGATCAAAGTCGTAGGTTCATTGCTTTTTTATTATCTTAGGTCTTTGCTGGGTGTTTTGATCGTCAAGTTCTATAGTGGACATCATGACCTTTTCATTGCCAGATATTGTAAAATTCAGAATGGGATGAATGTTGTGCTCGTTTAGTTTCATCTTTGAAAGTTTTGCCAGGATACTGCATGGTATTCTCGTGTATTCTCGTGTTAAGTGCCTTTCCCAAGGGCACAAGATTGGTGGCATGTCAGGACTCGAACACAGGACCTCTTGGTTCCGAGTCGAGCACTATGCCGCTACGCCACACGACCCCACGAAGTTGGTTGGTTGGTTTTGTTGGTTGATTTGTTCCAATGTATTTCCACAGGCGTCCATGGACGTGTTCACTGTGGAAGTTGACGACGGGTCGCACGAGGTGAACCGGGCGGGGCGGCAGCGCAGGCCGCCCGAGGAGCTGGACATGACGCTCCGGTCCCTCATCGAGGCCCAGCTCAGGGACAGGAGGACCAGCGACGTCGTCTACGTGGAAATCGGACTGCTGAAGAGAGGAGACGTCTTCGTGAGTTATTTTTGTATCCAGAACCATTGTTGTATCTGTGCTTTATCAACCATGCTCAGGCACGGTTCTTGATAGTCCACTACTATTCAGAACCAGGCTTTATCCAGAACCGTGCTTTATCAAGAACCGTGCCTGAGGCAGATCTACCTTGGATACGCAAAGACTATACTATCGAGAACAATGCTTGACCCTATCCCAAACCCTTATAGGCATAGATAAGCAATTTGTCCAATTTGGCCTGCTATGGCTGGCTAACTCCGATCTCCTGGCCAATTATATATATATTTGTAGGCTGATTTCGATTACTACTTAGTCAACCTGTAAAGGAGTCTGCTGGATGCTAACTCATTCGATTAGTTTGATTCTGTGTCTAAGATTCTCAATTTGTCCGTTGTAAATTAGCCTGGAGTCCAGCCTTGTTAGCTTTATTCCGCTCCCCAAGGTCCGCTGGTTGGCGGGGAAGCGGACCTTGGCGAGCGGACTAAAGCTAACAAGGCTGGACTCCAGGCTAGATGGACATGTCTTCTGTGAGTCACTTTATTTCATCTCCCACAGGGCCTACAGGAGACCATGGGCGTGTCTGACTCCGGACCTCTGATATTGATGAGTCTGGGGATCGGGACGAGAATCTACAGACTCAAACGGACTAACTTCAGGGACATCGCTTCTGACGAGGCCACAGAACACGCCAAGCTCCTGGGATATGAAAAGAAGTAAGTATGGAAGTGTCGAATTTGTGGTCAGCCCTTTTGTATTAGATATAATATACCAAAAACAGTTACTGAAGCAGCTGCATATGTTCATGATCGTTTCCAAAATCATTTCCAGCTTAAGTAACTGTTTTTGGCGTATATTATTATCTGGATGTCTAACCTTCACCGACGTATTAGATATAAGAGTTTTAATTGGCGTAAACATATGTGTATCCTTGGTAAATATTTTGTCTGATGACCCTTACATCTTCCCTAATGGTTTCAATGAAAGGCCGTCTCCAGACCGATTTGAGCTTCTCATGAATAAAAGCAAACAAACAAACAAACAAACAAACAAGCAAACAGACAGACAAACAGACAAACAGACAAACAGACAAACAGACAAACAGACAAACAGACAAACAAACAAACAAACAAACAAACAAACAAGCAAACAATGTATATTTACCTTGCAGGTACCCTTCAGCCGAGGCGTTGTTGATAGCGCTACAGGAACAGTCGAAGTGGGACGTTTACAAACAGACAGTCGTGGAAGAAGTGCTGCGTCATCACAGACGCTTCGACGTCGTTCCTCTAAGATCTCCCACGGAGGAGAAGCTTCGCTCCAAGAAGGTGAACCGACTCGTGTCCGCCTTAAGTCGGCCTAGTGACGACATCTTCGGCCTTCCGGACAATGCCGAGAACACCCGAAAGATCGCGGAACCTACCGACGCGCCGAGCGACGAACGGGAGCGGGAGGACATCCGACGGGCGAGGAAGTTCGACGCTCCCATCGTGATGAGGCCCAAAACCATGGTTGCTAGGTGTGGCAGCATGTTGTCAAGGGCTGGGACTACCCACGCTTTAAACAGCGGGAAGGTTTTGCCGCAGCAAAGAGTCGTGAGGCACAGGGTCAGCAGGGTTAGTTCGACGTCGTCTGACAGCTCCGAAGTGACGAACGATGATTGACGAAACATGACACAAAATGTTGCAATTCTGTTCCTCTGCTACATAACAAACTAAATGTTGCAATGTGTGGTTGAGAGGTCTCCGTTCAATAAGGATGACGCTGCTATATGTATACATGGAAAAATACGTGTTTGAATGGAACGAAAAATCATGTAGAAGAAATAAAATGATATTGGTTAGAGAGATAGCATGTCTCTACAAATAATTATTCTATCTATAGTTTTAAATGAGTAGCTATTTATATGTAAAGGGTTTTACTGACCCACACACATACTGTTACGATTCGTGGAATTACAATTAAAGGCATCTTAGAATCAAGGTTGCGTTTATATGATAATGATTGCAAAATAATGGCCTTTCGCCTACTTTGTAGATCAGTGCACGCCCAAAGACACTCGGAAGAGGAACCTGCATATGCATGATGAATCCATGAATGAACGATCGTCGCGGTGTTGTTTTCATGAATATAAAGTCGAAGTGACTGATATAAGAAACAGTATTTATGAGTGCGTGATGACTGAATAATGTAAAAGTGGGGAAATGCTTTAAAGACAAACCAGCATATCTATAAGGAATGTTTAAATGAATGATAGTCGGAGCCTGGTTTGAGAAGGTGCTTAAACGGTTTTGTCTTTTGGATTCTAGAATGAAATCATTCAAGTTGCAAATGTGTAGCGAAAGCAACATTCTTAATTGTTAATTTCTTCGGATCCAGTCATTAATGATGCGTGGTTAAGTTTGCCAACTTATTCCCAAAGCCAAAGGCTATTAGTATTTGCAAGGTAACATACAAAATATTTTACATATATTACTAAGGAGATTGGCGTCTTTTTTGGAGGAAGTGGCTAATGAATAAGCCCACGTTTTATTGATAAAAGGCGTTTTGTGATTTTAGTATTTATCGTGTCCAAGCCATGTGAACAAACAAACAGGTCATATGAGCAAAATCACAATCTCATCCAGTGCAGTTTTTAGGGCTTGGAAGCGGTATTTTTCAAGGTCAATATTCCAGTCACTTATCTATATACTGAGTTTAAACCACAATATCCTAGCGTATATTGACCCACATGGAGAAAAAATTTCCAACATTCTGACGGAAATGGTTACAAGAGCCCTGATCTGATTTTTAGGGTACCACCCAGAAAATAAAGGACTCATCTTGGGGCTTGTTTCTGCAGTTTTTAATGCCCAAAGTATGAAATTCTGATTTAAATGTGCTAATGTGAAGCAGTATGTGTCAATATCAAAGATTGTCTTATTCAGAATATTTTCAGTTTTGCTGCCCTGAAATCGCTTTGGATGCATTTAAGAGGTAAACAAAGATTAACGTCTTCCCATCCCCCTGTTTCCTGAAGACTTCAGGCCTTACATGAATTATCCATCAGCAGGACTGCCAGTTTGCCTCGGGCAAATTCCAGACGTGTTGGAGAAGCAAATGCCGCGCCAGAGTCCGCCTAACTAAACCGCGCATCTGTCGGTAGCACGCCGGCAAATATGTGCAGAGTTAGGCAACCGTCTTCTGATTCACATCTGAGCAAAGAATCAAAGAATAGTGCTTCATAAGGGTGTTAGTGCTGACATGACTACGATGCACGTAATTTTCGTCATGTAAAAGTATAAATAAATTTTACGGCTCTCAGTGGCCAATATGAGATGTTGTCACATCGGCGCACCAAATCCGTAGGGTGTTTTTGGCACGGTGGGCGTCACTCCACCGTACAGGTGGGGAAGTCGTGTTAAGTACCTTTCCCAAGGGCACAACGTCGGGCCATGGTGAGTATCGAACCCGGGACCTCTCGGTTCCGAGTCCAACGCTCTAACCGTTGCGCCACCGACGCCAAATTGTAATTTCCGTCATACTTGTTGGTCAAACCTGAAAATGGCCAGGTGAATATGGGGTAATGATGACGTGAAACACGTCATATACGGTTATAAACCTGACGAACCAAGGGTCAACCATTGGCTGTGACGTCACGCGCAAACAACCAATAGAAAAGTAGGTTGTTCTAATACAGTGGCCATGTTCTAATATGTGTCCATCACAAACAACAACAGAAGCTCCCCCACTTAAAAAAGACAATGGAGTAACGGTTAGAAGATCGATGAGTTGGGAACGAAACAGGTGAGGATGACGTGAACACACACTGTGCTGGCGTCACCATAAGTGTGCTGTTCACACTATGTCACAAGGCGACGTCATCAGAAAGTACACAGAATTTACTTTAAAAGCATGGAAATTCGGGTTGTTCAGATAGTTTCTTTGCATCGCTTTTTGGAGCTGAAATCACCATGTCTTTCCGGTGTGTTGCTGCCATCCTTCTGTACGTTGTGGTCGCCAACGGAGCAAAACTTTCTCCCTTAAAGGTAAGTATTGATTTGAAATTTGAAGTTTTATTGAGCATAGAATTGTATACGTTTTTAATTACAAGGGGTACAAAGTAAGTAGTAGAGTCTACAGCATCGGGCCGTGCAACAAGAAGGAACCGTTGCTCTTTTAATATGTGCTAGGTCAAAACTAGCTCTTGGAATAGTCTAATCATCAGTAAGTCATCTGACGTTGTTTCAAGATGGTACCTGTTGCACCCTACTCTCAGTTTTACAAAATGAAAAGAAAAAAAAAAACTTCGATGTAAAGAGTTTATTTCCGCGTCCGCAGGATGAGATGGAGCGGTTTATCCACTCCTGGGCGGTGTACTCCCCTGTACAGACGGACAGTAACGACGGGGAGGGAAGCGGCGGGAACGTTATCGAAGGTAACAAAGGGAATATACCTCAACATAGAGAACGTGATCGGCGTTTTTTTTAAAGTTTACTAGCCTCTACCAGACTCCGCGGATCGCTGGAAAAATAGTAGAAACTGGCCGAAATAAAGGGATAGTATACCAGGGAAGATCCCGGGCCAAAGAAGATCCAATTCGCGACCCACGGTCTTTGGTAAATCTCTAACTAACTGGCTTTGAAAAGGAGGTGTTGACTGTCCCAGTTTGGCCAAACAGGCGCATCGCTAAGCGTCAATGTTTACAGTGTCAGGTAAAACCACTTAAACGAAGAGCAAACGTGTCTTTGATGAGCCCAGCGAATGTAAAGTTTTCCCATGAATGACGCAGCAAACATGTCTGGGACGTTACAGGGTAGATACAGCCGGGGGTGTTTTTGTTTGGCTCACATCGAAATGACAAATTGCAGGACCATAATAGAGAAGGAAACACTGTTTGACCCATCCACCCAAAATCACTCCATTTTTCCTGCCTCAAATACAGAGCAGATTTGCGACTGTTTTTATGAACTATAGTGACGTCACGTGTCCACACGGTCACGTGTTTTTAGCAATTGGTCATTCGAACCTGAGGAAGGCTACCAGAAACTTCTGGTTTTGATATCTCGTGATCTGGACTGGTAGGGTTACGAATTTCGGATGGTAGATATTTCTTGTGCTTAGAAAGAAGATTGGGTGATAGAAGTTTGGGTCACCAAGCAGCTTAGGCCACACCGACTTAATTTTATGGATCACAATATGGATCAGGTGGTAACTATGGAGAATGGCACCCATGAGTACCGAAGCTTCGGGACTCAAGAACTCAGTGCCGATTTACAAATCCCGCAAAAAGCCAGGATGTGCCGGCTTGTCGTATACGTCACTATGTACAACCGCAAATTCACATTACTAGCTTTGCATTCCTGCGACCGCTTAGTATCATTTTTATTTTTGGCCGGAATTGTTTTTTATTCGCCCGGGCGCACTAGTTTGGGGGTCTTCAGAGGATGTCATCCATAAAATTAAGATGATGTGGCCTTATGATATACTGTTTTTCCTGCAGCCTTCACCTGCTCTCTCCGGCAGCCCGGCCTGTACAGTGACCCGCAGGACTGCCACTCTTACTACGAGTGCGTCGCCGGCTTCGACACCCCGTTCCACCGCGCTTGCGCCATGGGGTGGTCGGACGGACCGCACCCCGTGTTCGATCAGGCCGCGCAGCGCTGTGATTGGCCGATGAATGTCGCAGGGCCTTGTGGGGTAGGTACGATGCATCATGGGTGATGTTGTAGAAAGACGTTCTTGTGTCTTCCGCCCTTTTCACACAACTTGTTACTTGTAGATAGCATTACTTATCCAAAAGAGGACATCTCAGTGCTTTTGTCTCTTTATTTTGCCAGGAATAGTTTTATCTATTGTAAGCTTTTGCCGTACAACAATATCGTAAAAAATGAATTTATAATAAACTTTATTGTAAAAATGAATACTTAGTACATGTTATACATTGTCAACCTAGTACGGCTCCTCTTCGCTTCTTTGTGATGTAGTATATTTTTCCATCAAAGGTTTGCCTCAACTAATTAGAAATTTAAACTTGTCTGCGATGCTTAGGTATATGAAATAGGGAAACAAATGTAGGTTTGCATCAGTCTCTCTTTAGTGTATAAGCTTCGAATTATCTCATACATGCAAACATACATCTGCAGACCAAAGACTCTCGGTGCGTGGACAAGGCACCAGTAATACGTAGGTGTATGAAATAGCGAAACATAGGTTGCATCAGTCTAGCAATTTCATCTCTCTTTGTTGTATACGCAACACATCATCTCATGCATACATACATAAATCTGCAGACCAAAGACTCTTGGTGCTTTGTAATCTAGAAATTATATCATACATACAAAACGAAATTGTTACTCAAGCAACTGGACATGTTTTTCATGACAGTTTTCAAAACCCGTCCAGTTGCTCGAGTAACAATTTCCTTGCTATTATTGCCTGGGTGTCTAACCTTCATCGACGTATACGTATATCATACATCTGCAGACCAAAGACTCCCGGTGTGCTGACAAGGCTCCTGGAAACTACCCGGTGCCCGGCAGCTGTACGCAGTACTACAAGTGTTTCCCGGGGCTAGTCCAGGGGCTGGACGGGGAGTGTCCGGACGGGACCGTGTTCCACCCCGAGATGATGGCCTGCAACTGGCCCTGGGCTGTCCCGGCACCATGCGGGGTGAGCTCTAGCCTCTATATGGCTTCGGGAGGCGGCTGGAATGAGTAGAAATCGGTTAAATAGAGAGATAGCATACCCTCTAGCGAAACTCCCTCGGCATGTTATCTCTCCATCAAGTTGACCGATTTCTACTCTTTCCAGCCGCCTCCCGAAGCCTGGTAGAGGCTTGGTGAGCTCTTTGACCTGTCTTCTCAACAGTTCTGTATCAGCGTCTCACGTCTGACTTATTCCTCTTTTCTTTCCATTTCCCTACGTCTAACTGTAATATAGTCTCCACCAGACTCTTTTGCAGGCTGAATAAATAGTAGAAATCGTATCGGCCTTAAAAGAATGTAGCTAGCCAGGGGAGTTGGACGGTCATAGGGGGTCTATCCGTGTGACCCCGACAGGATGGCCTGCAACTGGCCCTGGGCCATACCGGCGCCCTGCGGGGTGAGGACTGCATGTCGGCTCGCCTCTTGTCTGTACCATCTTTCATCTTCGGCAAAAGTTGATTCCTTACGTCTCCAGCAGTTACCTTTTTTCAAATATCTTACATCATTAGCAAGTCCCCATCCTTATTTATCTACTCCTTTTCTTAAATATATACCTTCAGTAATTCTCCCTATTTACATCGTACCTCAACTTTCATTTGTCACGTCTTCAGAAATTACCCTTCCTTTTCTTAGACCTTCAACAACCCCTCTTACTTATTTATTTATTTATTACATTTTTAAATACATCTTCCGCACTCACCTTTCTTACATCAGCAATTCGCCTTCCTAACGTGTATCTTTAGCAATCACTTTTTCTTGACATCGAAAATCTTCAGCAAATTTTCTTTCTTACATCTTAAAACAATGGTGTAATCAATTCAGTTCACGTCTATTTTTCAGACTCAGTAATGACGTCACCCCGGAGCTGTCTGTCAGCTGACTTTGCAGCGCCACCTGCCTAGGACCTACCAAACTGCAGGGTCATCAACCGTTTTAGGATAATAAAATGTCAGATTTGAGCTCAGCACTGACCCTCTGTGTCTCTAGTTTATTTTACTGAAGTTAAACTGTCTATATATTAGTAGCAGCGAAGTTTGACCGAGAAAATGATTTATTGATTCAAGGAAGAAATGGAAACAAATCGAGTATTGATATATGATACAACTAAAATTGTGTGGGTGTGATATTTACTCTTATCAGCGAATTTCATGATAATGTAGCGTTTTAATGAAGCCATTATTAAATACCAAATCATAATGTAGCGAGCAAGTTCAACTTGCCACATGCGACACTATTTGGGTAATCAATTGTTTGTGACCCGGAAGCAGTGCCACGGGGTCATTTGGGTGTCGCTGCACGATATCCGGTCTTCCCGCTGCTAAAACTGGTAAGAATGCCTCTCCTTTTACTCATCTAACTCTAAGATATCTTGTAAGTAATGCAGTGTACATGTACATGTGTTTGGTGTTCATTGAAAGGTTGACATGTTACTATCAAAGGTCCAATTTCGCCCATAACAAGGAGGTTCTAACCTCCGTGTTCAAAATTTGCCCGCGAAATTTGACATCAAATTTTGCAGCCAGCAGAGCTGTCAAGCCTGTTCGTACGAATATGATGGGACCACTGTCAGTGATACACTGTTAACTTAATGTGAGGACTTGGTTGGTGTTTGTGTTGACGGTGATGTGAATCCTCGCACGAAAGAAACCTGTACATGCATGTACACAATCCGTCCTGCGGGTGGGGGAGGGGGGGTCACTGAATGACATCCAGTAAATTTCTAGCGGGGACCAATCAGAGGGCTGCTGAATAATTTGAATAATTTATCAAGGCCCACGGACGCGGTTCTTTCACTTGTAAAGTAGCCAATTACCACCGAGCCGGTGGCACACGATGGGCGAAAACATTTATTTCACACCCATTGTACGTCGACATAAAGCGCTTATACATTACAAACAGAATTTTCGTAGGACTGCCATTACTTTAGTTTGCAGCATGTGTATTGAGAACGAGTATCTTCATTTGACTCCATGATTCTGCTGGCTGTTTGTAGAAGAACGGCACAATAAAACAGTTTTCAATACCAACACGACTTAGCAGATAACACGTAATGAAGCCCACTTTTTACGCAGATTGTAGCACTACGTAATGTTTCACAAACTAACAGTAGATGTTTTAAGGAATTCACAGAAATGACAATGATAGATAATGTAACGCATATACATTATACAGCACAAAATAAAGAGTAACAGTAATGTAGTCGTCTTTGGCCGGGTATGGCAAGTTATAGCATGGAGGTATCTCTTTTTTATACCTCCATGGTTATAGTACGTACATGTATCGGTTCAATCTTTAACGGGTAAGTTGACAGCAACAAGCAAGATGCATAGGTTCTATTACTTTTGTAGCTCACTTGCGTCTAGATTTGGGACGAACCCATGTTACTTTTTCGCCGCAGTTTTTCATGTAGTGGTTACTTCGACAGCCTTTCCGCTGACGCATACTAGTTTGAGGTTCCACAGTTCTTACAACGTTAGCGCTTGAAGTGGTGTTTTCCAAGTTTGTTGGTCTGGTGATGTTGTCTTTGTTGGCTTGTTGTCTGTCATTTCCCTCCATTTTTATGTTTGGCGGCCCGTCTTCGATGGGTTGGGTTTGGTTCACAAATCTCGGCTTCGCTAAGATCCGTCCTTCCCGTACGTAGTGGTCGCTCCATTAGCGCTAGTGCAGCCACATTTGAATGTGTAAAACTTAATGTCTACAGTCCCGTTTTGATTCGTTCATCAAAGTAGATTTTACTAAGGTATGACTTTACTAACTGATTGTGGAAGTACTAGTACTTAGTACTGATGTAAACAAGAAACAATATACGCGCTCTGGTTGAGTTCATGGCATTTACATGAAACAAGGTGCTAATAGCCGCTAGTCGGTGACGCGTCAGCAGCCCTCTGATTGGTCCCCGCTAGAAATCTACTGGATGTCATATAGTGTACACGGGAGGGGGGCACAGTGTACCCAGCTCATACAGGAATACTATATGTGATGGCGTTTGGTTCATGTAAGCCTTCAACTTTCACAAAACGGGAAATGATTCAGTTATGCATTTACAGTTCATCGATGAGGGGGGGGGGGCACTCGGTTCGTGAGTAGAGTAGTCTACAGAGAGGAGTTACATTGATGAAACTCTTGAATTAGTGAATAAATTAGCTATGTAAATTTGTTTTAATGATAAAAATGATTCAACAGGAGAAATTTTACATCTAATATCAATATTAATATCATAGATACATTTTGGGGGAATGCTCCTGCATTTCTGACTTTATCTGTTAAAGAAAGTCACTTCACAATGGCAACAGCTACCAATGGTGGATTTTATTGAAAACCTCCATAATGCAACACTAGTACACTCGGAAATTTAAAAAGCGAAAGCAAGAAAGGGCCAGGGGGTCGCCAGAAGGAACCCCTTAGCTATTTACCATTTCTTAAGTAGCTGGCCACGGACTAGGTAAGACGGACCTTCGTCCTATACGGAAACCTAGAGGAACTCTGAAAGGATACAGCACATCATATCGACACATCTAAGTCGGGAAAATCATCATCAAAACGTTGGTTCATATAGAGAATCGGCCACCAAACAAGTGACCAGAATATTTATAGATTACTTTGTCTTACAGCGCCACCTGGCGGTATGCTCTGATAGTGCACAAACACTACTCTGGTAACTGGATCACGTCCACCCTATAAACTCAGTGATGACCCGTATGCAGCAAATATATCAGATATTCATTGCTTTTCCATGTTCTATTTTTCATTTACAATAGGTAATACTCTTTCTCACCAAGTTTCTATAAGATATTTTACAGTAGAACTCCCCAGTTTTTGACTGCACGGTCTTGAACACATTATTTATTGCTTACCACCCCATCCCAGATAAGCTTTGCCTAGAAATTGTGACAAAATTGTTTCCGTGTTGTAGAAATACGGAAGCTAGTACGAGCATAATTATATGCGGTGGGCGGGGTTTTCGTCAGTGCGTAGGGATTTGCGATCTGAACTCTACTTATTTTTCTTATTTATTTTTTTGTTGTTTTTTCTTCGTTGTCTACACTGCAAAAAACTTCTTTGGTAACATCGAACTATTTTGTGTGAGAAAGTGTATACAACCTCGAAAGGCGGTGATAAGGTTAGACCACCCGACCGATTAACCACACATATCGCAAAACTCCTGCGCATGACGAACGTTGAAACGTGACACATCTTCTCTTCATGGTAGACTGGAAAAATATGCCTAGTTTCCTTACGACACGTAATTCTGCAGTCATGGTCGCCACTGTACACGGGACGAGATCGGGAGGAACACACAAGTCTTTACTTATCATTCCTACAGGCGGCGCGAACTGCACTGACCGGTGGATAGTCTCTGTGAGATGTTGTTTAAATAGCCTCTACCAGGCTTCGGGAGGCGCATGGAAAGAGTAGAAATCGGCCAAATAGAGAGAGAGATAACATGCCAAGGGAGTTCAGGTCCGCTGGACAGTACAGTTTGCCGCTCCCGAGCTTCGGTATTTCTACTCTTTCCAGCCGCCTCCCGAAGCCTGGTAGAGGCTAGTTGTTGTTATGGTCAGAGCTTCGGGATGTCTACTCTTTCCAGCCGCCTCCCGAAGCCTGGTAGAGGCTAGTTGTTGTTATGGCCAGAGCTGCGGGATCTTTACTCTTTCCAGCCGCCTCCCGAAGCCTGGCAGAGGCTAGTAGTTGTTGTTATGGTCAGAAAGAGAGGCATCCCTTCTGAGGAATAAGCAGACTCTACAGCCCGACATCTTATCTCTCTCTATTTGTCCGATTTCTACTTTTTCTAGCCGCCTCCCGAAGCCCGGTAGAGGCTAGTAGTTGTTGTTGTGGTCAGACAGAGAGGCATCCTAGCTGTCTGAGGAATAAGCAGACTCCACGTACAGCCCGGTCCGGCAGCTAGAGCGCCGCTCGCCCCTCCCCGTCTGTCTCCCCAGCGGCTCCTCTCGCAGGAATATCGATGTCTATGTGGGAGCACCTTGTGAATATTAACTCTACTTTATCCGCGCCTGGCCGCTCCCGTATTAACGCCTTCGCCCTTTTGACAGGTTTTCGATGGATCGATCTCTGGCAATTTTTCGACGGACGGGCGACACAGTTCTGGAAGACGTCCAAAAAGGAAGATTCGTTAGGTAGCTTGGCTTGCCCCCTCTCTTCATTCTTCTAAAACCGATCATCTGCTGTACAATATTTAAAATTCTATACTCTGTAGAGAAGAAAAACAGTTACTTATCTAACGTGTGTAAGCGCGGATGGCTGGCTGCCGACGAGGAATGACATTGTTGTATTGGACTGCTAAATTTACAGCGTTTAAGACCTCCTCTGTACAATATTCTTCTTAAACCTCATTTGCATTTTTTTTGTCGCGGCTGCGGCGCTGGCCTCACTCCTGACAAAGATGGCGGCGGCGGTAAGAAACTAAATTCTCCTCCCAGCGAGCTAGTCCGAGCACAGGA